TTGGTAAGTCCTAAGGCAGTCAGTAATCCTTTGCCAAGGTGATACAAAATCCATATATAAATGGTGAGTAAACCTGGAGTTAGGTGGTTAATCGGTGGTAGTTATAATCAGATGGTTTAAATGGGCACTCCCCTAGTTGGGGTGCAGGTATGGCAGATAGTATAGAACCTTCGAGTGGACTACTTAAATTAGGTACTCAAAAGGTGTATGTGTGGCTTGATATATCATTGTTGTAATTGCGTATAAAACACCGTTTTAAATCCTAATAAAAGCTTTCAGGCCAAAGAGGTCTCCTTAACTCAAAAAAAAAATAATAATAACTAATTTGTTTTTTTCTACAAAAAAAAGCTATTTATAAAAAAGGTAATCAATTTTATTGCAGAGTTGTAGAACCAAGTAAGCAATATAACTATTCTGAACTATTGCTATAAGACCAGAATTTTTTTGAATACAAATAAATTAGAAATAGATATTGTGAACCAGCATATTGAAAATAATATTATATTAGATAATAAAGAAATTGAAACTATAATTTTTAATTTACCAGATAAGAGTTCAGACTGCCTGGGCTATGTTAATATATATACAAGCTATTGATAAACCTATTGCTACAGAAAAAATACTTGATGATAAAAAGATAATTTCTATAATTCAAACTAAGGAAAATAATATCAACTAGGCAAGCAATTGAGAAAAATGATAAAAACAAGACACCTGAACTACCAATAATAGTTGCTAAAGTATATAGTACAATGCAAACCATTGTTCGCTATGAAGAGCAAGAAAATTCGAAAACAAATCTGTCATTAAAAGAATTAGAGTTTTTAAAAAAACTATTCAAAAAGTATAAACATATAAACAAAAAGTTAAAAAAGCAATTAAGAATTACTAGCTTTTTTACTTTTTAGAATTCATACTCTAATAACTTGTATCTTCAAAATTCATATCCTCAAGATCTATATTCTCAAGACTTATATCATTAAGCTTCATATCCTCAAGATATATACTCACAAGATTTTTTTTTTTTTTTTTTTTAAGCGATCCTGCCTTTATTCATGTGAACTGTTATATAATTTTTACACCCAAGTATACAAAATTTCTACAACTTATTGTTCTAACTCAATAATGACTCACCAAGCATAAATGCCCAATGCGACCTGCTATAACAACTAGTTGTCTACTCAGGGATCATGAACTAACTCATGATTTCGTATTTCAAAAGGTACCTCCTCTCGATTATAGACTGGCCATTGTATACCTCATCAGGATCACCAACCTTTCTTTTAACTTTTTCTACCAAAATCCGGGTAGAATAACTATCTCCTACTTTTCTATAAGCAAGAACATATATACTATATTTATAAAAGACCAAAAACATTTAGGAGAATGAAAAGAAAATCAAAAACAAAAACTGCAGAAAGAAACTATCCTAAATATAATTCTATCATAAATGGACCAGCAAAAAAAGTAAAAAGAAAAGTCGGCAATTCCAACGAGAAAAAAGAAAAATGCACTGTTATAACCTGTACCAGGCAAGTATAAAAATTATATACTCATAGCAACATTGCATATCTCTATTGTAAGGCTTCTTCTAAACTATTAATTCCTCTCTGATCCTACTATCCCTGGAAGTCTTCACCCAGGTTCTTCTAATCAGGTACTGTTATCGTCCCACGCCAACTCTTTAGTCTTCTACAGCCTTGAGCCAAAACTAGTAGCACCATGTCCACTTATGCCGAACACGTGATTGCCATCTACCATATTAACCAGATATGAGAATGTAAATACTGTATAACCTATACCAATCATTTGGAAAGAGTAAGCCAAATTTCCACTTTTTGTTAAAATTTTTGAAAGATTAGCAGCAAAAGCAGAAAATGAAATAAAAGAGACCACTTGTATAGAATAAAAGAGTGCGGCTTGAAACCAAAAAGTTTCAAAGTTTACTATACCTCTGGATTTTTGAGAAGTTCTAAAGGCTTCGCTAACAGAATTTCATCCACCAAAATTTATATGCAATAGCAAGTGCCACTTGCCTTTTTCTCCTTTGCATCTTTGCTTCTAGCTTGCATATTAGATATAGAGAGGAGTTCCGAGGTAGTCATTGACCTCTCTAAAAACAACCAAGATCTCTCTCGAACTATAGTCTACAAAACTTCGTTAACATATCACTTCACCCTTTACAAATCCAGTTTTCAGCTTCTGGCTTGTAGCAAGAAGTTCACTATGACCTTGCTACAAACTATTCTGTAGCTACACGACTCTCTAGTAAACTTTTTCTACTTTTCCTTTTTGTGAGGAGAGTGGTCCAAGTGATCGTTGGGGAGAGTTGTAAATAAATCTGTATACTCACAAGATTCATATTCTCAAAATTCACATTCTTATAACTCATATTTCTCAGATTTATTTTTTCAAGACTTATCTTTCTAAAACTTACAGAGTTTATATCTACAAAATTTATATTTCCCAAATTTTTTTTTTTTTTTATTCTCAAGAGTCACATTTTTAGTTAATGTTTTAGATATATATTAAATATCTTAAATCTTGTCTATATCCCAATACTTACTGAGATATTATGATACTTAATATAGTACTTATTGAAATCTTAAAAAAAAAGAAAAAAAATATATGAAATTAAATAAAATTATATATATTACCTCTTAATACAGGATATTCGCATCTTTGGGGGCATCCATATATAACATTATGTACCTCTACATAGTAGCTCTTGACCCCTTTCTAGACTATATAAAATTTTTTTAAAAATCCATATGTTTATATATAAAATTTTATAAAAACTTGGATATATTATGACCCAGTGATCCAATCAGGATGATTTTGGTACCATTCGATTCGTCTCTGTGAGACGAATCCAATGGTACTAAAATCATTTTATTTGGACCACTGGGTAACGTTTTATTAACGAAGAACTATTGATTTAATAGTAATTTTATAAAAAACATAATAACCAATAGTATTTCATTAATAAAATACGATTCAGTAATCCAAATCAAATTATTTTGGTACTATTCGACTCCTCGAATGGTACCAAAATTATTCAATTTGGTCTACTGGATCAAATTTTAGCCAAATTTTTATAAAAAAATTGCATTATATTTTAAGGAACCCCTCTAAATATTAGAAAATTGTTATATTTTGGGAAACCCCCTCTAAATATTAGAAAATCATTATATTTTGGGGGACTCCCTCCCCCCCTCAAGCATAACGTTATTTATAGATGCCCCCTTACCACACTGATATTTGCCAACAAGCTCCATATATGGTATTATCTGTATTTAAAAATCTGCTATAGCTTGGTACTCAGCTACCTAAGTTCGAACTAATTACATCTTGCCTTTCTTCTAGACTTATCCCACCAACATTTGGGCAGAATATATTTTCTCCTATTTCTGCATAGTGCAAACATATATGCCAATTTACAAAAGAAAGACTTCTTTTAAAAGCTGATCCCTTTTTTTGAACTATCTCACCTTAAATTTTGATAATATCTTCCCAAACTCAATCCACTTAAATCCTAACAAATTATACATATTACCTTCTACTTCTACATAAGACTAACATATATGCCAACATTATGAAGGAAGGTATATTTAAAGAAAATCTCTAAAAGCTCTCTCATAACCGAAAAAAAATAGAAATTATTCTAAAAAAGAAAACAGAACTCAAAAGAGAAAATGAAACAACAAGAAAAAAAGGAAAGAAGAATCTAAACCAATTTTAATATAAATGAAAATAGATGAAACAAGCAGAAAAAAGAAAAAATTAAATGATTCGAATACACTATTATAACCCGTGCTAGGTGATTTAAAAATTATATACCAGATGCAATATTTGTATATCTCTGTTGTAAGTTTAAACTTAACTTTAAAATTTCCTTTGACTTATTTTAATAACCTAGTTTGTATCTTAAATCAAGTGCTGCTGCAGTACTAGGATCCAACTCTCTATATATGGTGCCAACAATAACAAAGATGCGACATTTCTGTAAAGGCACCATTACTCGAGTACTTGTATCTCAAACCACTTGGTATCATCACCAGGGGTTTCTTTTTGACCAAGACTCGTTCCAGGGCCTGTGCAATGTATTTGTCTCCAAACATGTAGTTGCTATCTTCTAGTCTATCCTGATCTTTTAGAGGAGGTAAGCCAAATCCCCACTTTTTATGAAAACTTTTTAAAAACTGATGGAAAAATGATAAGAGGTAAAGAGAGACCACTTGAACTTCAAACTAATTTAAAGAAGTGTAAGTTTTCTTTTCTATAGTCAAGACCTACTGCCCAACACCTGCTTAACCTTTTTCAGTAAGTAATAAACTCTGGGCTTGTTGGCAAGTAGTATATAAGAACTACTTCTAAATGACAAGTGCCGAGACTATGCAGTGAGTAATAAACTCTAAGTTTGTTAACAAGTAGCATATGAGAACTACTTCTAAACGACAGGTGCTGACTTATTGTCTAGTATGTCAAGTGCTGGCTTGTAAGGTCTCTTTTTGCAGTAAAATGTTTTTCAGAAAATATGGTTCAAGTGATTGTCAGAAAGAGTTCCAAAAAAATTCATCATCTTTTAATAACTAATTATATTTGATTTGCTAACTAGAGCATTTAGATTATACTTTTTTTATATTTTCTTTTTCTTTTTTAAGCTTGATTAAGATTTTTTTATTTTTAATTTTCTTTTTTAGTAATTTTTTATACTCTTTTTAATCTTCAATCTTAGCTTTATTATAGAGAAAAACTGTTTTAAAATACTTTTTGTTTTCTTTAACTACTGTTAATAATTTTCTTATTTGCAAATCCAATTATAATAAAGTACAGACTACTTTGTGATCACTTTTTGTTATATATTCTATATCTACAATTTTTGCATTTGCAAGCCTATTTAATAAATTATCTAAAATTTATATCTGATTTATTCTTGTAGTATATATATTATTAGACTATATATATAGTTTTCATTTATTATAAAATACATTTATAGTAGTTTTGCACTTATTATATATTTTTATATATTTTTTTAAGTTTTTCTAAATTTTTATATAAAATTTTTAGCACAAATTCTTCATGTTATGGTTATTATTTAGTGTTAGAATTAAAGTTAAAAGGGTTTTAAGAGTCATAAAATATTTTACTTAAAATATTACATATTAATTAATTAGTTAGTTTTTAAGATAATGCAATATAGATAGTAAAACACTATAGATACATTTTAGTAAAAGTGTATATTTTTTATTAAATAAATAAATCTAATTATATTTATAAAATTGCTTTTTTTTAGCTATTTATATGTTCTAGTTATCTTATATTTATTTAATTTTTGATATGATTTTTTATCTAATATTGAATTAACTATATATAGAGCTTTACCTGGAAGGGTCAAATAATAACAGTCTCCTAACGAATAACTAGATGACCTTTGATCCTTGCGGAGCTGTGCAAGCCGAGCATATGGTGACTAAAGTAAAAGACTCAACCCTATCTACTTTAGATATCATATCATCACCTCCTTCTAAAGTAGCATCTACCATACTCAATACCACTAATAACCAATCTTTTGATTCTTCTGATGAATCACCATTAGAAGATGACTATAATAGTGAAGAATATCGCACAAATCCAACATCATCATTATCACTATTTTACGCAAGGTGGTGAAATAGT